ATTAAATACCGTGATGCTGCGCATTCCTGTCTCAAGTTAAGGATCTCTTCTCCCCCGTTGCGTCGTCTCCTCGACCCCGGACACACCCACGGCTTTTTCGAAGCTTTTTGCTCCGTTTTCTTTTTTGGGTTTGTTTAGTCCGGTTTTAGGGTTCCCTTCGTTCAATTTTTTTTTTCTTTTATTTTGTTCGAATTCTCCTCGAAAAAGGCTTCTTTTGCGATTATAAGTAAACAAAATTAAAGTTTTATTTCAAAATTTATTGGAATTTAACGTTTAATCAAGTTATTAAAGCTGTTCGAGTAGAAGCAATAGAAGTCAATGTGTTAAAGGTAAAATTTGTTACAACTTTTGGTCTAAAAGTTTTTGTGTATCATGCTCGGAATACCGATTTTTTCCATTAACAACTTGTGAAACTGCGATTTTTACTAATTTTCATATTTTCTTGACATTGATGCATCAGAGAGCAAAAATAATAGAAGCCAATGTGTTAAGGGTAAAATTTACTACAACTTTTGATCTAAAAGTTTTTTTGTATCATGCTCGGAATATCAATTTTTTCCATTAACAACTTGGGAAACTGCGATTTCTACTAATTTTCATATTTTCTTGACATTGATGCATCAGAGAGGAAAAATTAATGGAAGCCAATGTGTTAAGGGTAAAATTTGCTACAACTTTTGATCTAAAAGTTTTTTTGTATCGTGCTCTGCATATCGATTTCTTCCATTAACAACTTGTGAAACTGCGATTTCTACTAATTTTCATATTTTCTTGACATTGATGCAACAGAGAGCAAAAGTACTACAAGCCAATGTGTTAAGAGTAAAATTTACTACAATTTTTGATCTAAAAGCGTTTCTGTACTATGCTCTGAATATCAATTTTTTCCATTAACAACTTATGAAACTGCGATTTCTACTAATTTTCATATTTTCTTGACATTGATTCAACAGAGAGCAAAAGTAATACAAGGCAATGTGTTAAGGGTAAAATTTGCTATAACTTTTGGTCTAAAAGTGTTTCTGTATTATGCTTTGAATATCATTTTTTTCCATTAACAACTTATGAAACTGCGATTTCTACTAATTTTCATATTTTCTTGACATTGATGTATCAAAAAGCAAAAGTAATAGAAGCCAATGTGTTAAGGGTAAAATTCGCTACTACTTTTGGTCTAAAAGTTTTTCTGTATCATGCTTGGAATATCAATTTTTTCCATTAACAACTTATGAAACTGCGATTTCTACTAATTTTCATATTTTCTTGACATTGATTCAACAGAGAGCAAAAGTAATACAAGGCAATGTGTTAAGGGTAAAATTTGCTATAACTTTTGGTCTAAAAGTGTTTCTGTATTATGCTTTGAATATCATTTTTTTCCATTAACAACTTATGAAACTGCGATTTCTACTAATTTTCATATTTTCTTGACATTGATGTATCAAAAAGCAAAAGTAATAGAAGCCAATGTGTTAAGGGTAAAATTCGCTACTACTTTTGGTCTAAAAGTTTTTCTGTATCATGCTTGGAATATCAATTTTTTCCATTAACAACTTATGAAACTGCGATTTCTACTAATTTTCATATTTTCTTAACATAGATGCGTCAGAGAGCAAAAATAATAGAAGCCAATGTGTTAAGGGTAAAATTTACTACAACTTTTGATCTAAAAGTTTCTCTGTGTCATGCTCGGAATATCAATTTTTTCGATTAACAACTTATGAAACTGCGATTTCTACTAATTTTCATATTTTCTTGACATTGATGTATCAAAAAGCAAAAGTAATAAAAGCCAATGTGTTAAGGGTAAAATTTACTACAACTTTTGATCTAAAAGTTTTTCTGTAGCACGCTCGGAACATCAATTTTTTCCATTAACAACTTGTGAAACTGCAATTTCTACTAATTTTCATATTTTCTTGTCATTGATGCATCAGAGACCAAAAGTAATAGAAGCCAATGTGTTAAGGGTAAAATTTGCTACAACTTTTGATCTAAAAGTTTTTTTGTATCATACTCTGAATATCAATTTTTTCCATTAACAACTTGTGAAACTGCGATTTCTACTAATTTTCATATTTCCTTGACATTGATGCATCTGAGACCAAAAGTAATAGAAGCCAATGTGTTAAGGGTAAAATTTGCTACAACTTTTGATCTAAAAGTTTTTCTGTAGCATGCTCGGAATATCAATTTTTTCCATTAACAACTTATGAAACTGCGATTTCAATTAATTTCCATATTTTCTTGACATTAATGCATCAGAGAGCAAAAGTAATATAAGCCAATGTGTTAAGGGTAAAGTTTGCTACAACTTTTGTTCTAAAAGTTTTTCTGTATCATGCTTGGAATATCAATTTTTTCCATTAATAACTTATGAAACTGCGATTTTTACTAATTTTCACATTTTCTTGACATTGATGCATCAGAGACCAAAAGTAATAGAAGCCAATGTGTTAAGGGTAAAATTTACTACAATTTTTGATCTAAAAGTTTCTCTGTGTCATGCTCGGAATATCAATTTTTTCCATTAACAACTTGTGAAACTGCAATTTCTACTAATTTTCATATTTTCTTGACATTGATACATCATAGAGCAAAGGTAATAAAAGCCAATGTGTTAAGGATAAAATTTGCTACTTCCTTTAGTCTAAAAGTTTTTCTGTATCATTCTCGGAATACCGATTTTTTCCATTGCCAACTTGTGGAACCAAGAATTCTTCTAATCTTCATATTTTCTCGACATTAATGCATCAGAGAACAAAAGTAATAGAAAGCAGTGTGTTAAGGGTAAAATTTGCTACAATTTTTATTCTAAAAGTTTTTCTGTATCATACTCAGAATACCGATCTTTTCCATTACGAACTTGTGAAACTGCGATTTCTACTAGTTTTCATATTTTCTCCACTTTGATGCATCAGAGAGCAAAAGTAGTAGAAAGGGTAAAATTTGCTCCTTTCATATACGCAAAAGAAGCTATACCTAAAAGAACGACTTAGATAGAACCCCATAGACAGAAAGATAGAAATTAACTGCACATGGATGAATTCGGGTTAAATTATGTCAGATTTTGTTCTCCACTGACATTATATCAACTCTCGGAGAAGATCTGGAGTCAGAAAGCTCATAAAAATAAGTGCGTCTCAGATTCAAGGGCGTCTAATGGATCTGAGGTTGCTCCTGGTCAATACATTGCAGGTGCTTAGCTTCGTCAACTTAATCAGACTTAATTACTTTCACAACAGCCGTAAATTCTTCTCTTTTAGTTGGGCCGAGGTCGCTTGCGGCCGAACCTTTACAATTACTATCATATATTCCTATCGTACATTGCGATATGTCGGTATCAACCCTAATTTGGTTAACAAAATAAATGATATATCCATTCGAAATTGATCAACACATCCCCATGCCTCGGCCGCAAGCGACCTCAACTAAATGTGTACTAAGCATTAAATGCCAGCGTAGTGTGCTGGGTCCTTTGTTCTTCTCAATTTTCATAAATAGTATTAGTGATGGTAGCTCGTGTAACTATCATTTGTATGCAGATGACCGTCAACTTTATATTTCGTCAACTGTTAACAACCTCTCAAATGCGTTGTTGCATCTTAACAACGATCTCTCTAGTGTGCTTAACTGATCTAGACATCATGGACTTAACCTGAATCCAGGTAAAACGCAAGCCATTGCATTTGGTACTCGCCCCTTGTTAGCACAATTTAATTCCTTAACTAACCCTTCAACTGAGGCTTGGCGACTGAATACCATATTTACCATACTTATGGATACCAAAGTATTCCATACTTTGAAAAAACTTTGCTCCTGTTGTACGTCGTAATCTTTGCTATTCCCTCATTTTCCCACACATTGATTATGGTGATGCCGCGTATCCCGATCTGCCCGCAGTCCTTCGGGGTACATTAGAAAGACTTCAGAACAATTGTATACGGTACATTTTTGATTTAGGAAAGTTTCAGCACATTACTCCATATCGTAACAACCTGCAGATGATGACTTGCCAGAGTCGTAGATCATTTCGTATGCTTACTATGTTGTACAAAATTGTCCATGCCCGCACTCCTGCTTATTTGTCTGATGCCTTTCACTTTTTAGCTTGCCCACTCGATCAATGTCGGACTCTACACTCATGTTTCCAGTCCATAGTACTGAAATCTACTACAGATCATTTACAGTGCAGTCGATTGCGTTGTGGAACGATTTGCCTGCCGTTGTTCGCAATGCAGCTAGTTTAATAAGTTTTTAAAATGCCTTGAAGCGCCATCTGCTATCTCTTGAACTATCTTCTTCTTGACCTATACGTGTTTGGTTTCTTCTATAGTCTGCCTTTCATGTATATTTTTTTTGTCTTTCCTTAATTGTAGTAACTAACTGTCAATCATTCGCTCAGTCTCATTAGCACATCATTTAGTATTACTTTTTTGGTAGCCATAATTATGTATTTAAAATTACATATACACTGTTACCAGTTGGGTTTCTTGGAAGATATCGCTTATTGCGATAAATTGATCCGTTTGTCTTGATGTCTATATTTGTTATGAATGTATATATTTGTTTTTGAGGCAATAAATATTATTGTAGAATTATTTTTATTATTATAAATACTATATCAACCCAAAGTTGATTAAAAAATAATGTAATGCCTCGGCTGCAAGTTTCGCTTGATGAAACTGAGGTTAGTTAGGTCCATTAAGACGATACAATTAAAGATATATCCATTCGAAATTGGTCAACATATCCCCATGCCTCGGCCGCAAGCGACCTCGGCTAAATATATACTAAGCACTAAATACCATATCAACCCAAAGTTGGTTAACAAATAATGTAATGCCTCGGCCGCAAGTTTCGCTTGATGAAACTGAGGTTAGTTAGGTCCATTAAGACGATACAATTAAAGATATATCCATTCGAAATTGGTCAATACATCCTCATGCCTCGGCCGCAAGCGACCTCGGCTAAATGTATACTAAGCACTAAATATCATATCAACCCAAAGTTGGTTAACAAATAATGTAATGCCTCGGCCGCAAGCGACCTCGGCAAAGCTAGAAGCATCGAATGTGTTATTTAGCTTGATGAAACTGAGATCATCTGCAATTAAGGCGATGCAATTAAAGTCAAATCCATTCGAAATTGGTCAACACATCCCATGCCTCGGCCGCAAGCGACCTCGGCTAAATGTATACTAAGCACCATATCAACCCAAAGTTGATTAACAAATAATAATACAAAGAATATAGCAAGTATTAAATCTACTAACTTTTATATACTGGACATCATTCATTTATGGCTCTACAGCCCATATCGAGCCTTGGCCTCCCTCAGCCTCCGTCTCTTTTGTATATACACAGCATTGTCTCGGTGCTTCAATTTCATCAATATCGTCTTCTGTGAAGTATTTCAAATCTAAAATAATAAATTTGGTGTAATTAAAAGATATAAAACATAAATTATAAAACACATAAAAATAAATCGATTATTTAAAATAATAATTTTAATTAAGAAATCGACAAACCCCCTTTTCATTATTTATTACCCATAAACCTCAACTAAAATATCCTTTAACACCTGTAGTCGTTATCTGTAACCTCATCCGAGTATAAAATCAACTTACAGTAGCCCCATTACGTATTCAAACGATCACTAAAAATGTAAATTTTACTACTAATAGGAATCCAAATGGTTCTTCTCTTTCAAAAAGTCATTTAAACTTTTTTTCGTAGAAACGTTTTAAAATTTTCCCCTTCTTACTTTTGTTCCTTTTAAAGGGAGGAACAATTTATTTGGATTTAATCCAATAGTTTCCCATTTCTTGTAAAATTCACACCCCACTTAGAAATTGATTGGTTCTTTTTGAAATTTTCAGGTAAAATTCTCGAAAACCTCACCCTCGAACCATCGAAATCCCACCAAGGACCACCTTCTCAACCCCCAACACCACCAAGTACGCCCCTCTCACCGAAAATATCCGATTTACCAAAATTCTCAACCCCCAGTTCTTTCCCGAACATCCCTAATCTTACCATCACCCAAAGCACCGCGGTTAGTTCCGCTTCGAGTTCGAACCAAACCGGATCAAGCTCAACCACTCAAAAGGCACCTTTAAATTTAGAAATTGGGAGAAAAAAATCGAAAAGTTCTGTGCAATTTTCAAACGGCGGTAATTCATCGAAAGGACTCGATTTAAGTGCGGTGTCATCTCATCAACACCCAGATTTTAACCCGTTTAGTCAACAATTCGAAGATGGATTAATGGTTAAAATGATCGAAGGAAAAGAAGGGAAAAGTCATCAAAATAATCGGGTAAGTATTAAAACACGCAAACTCAACATTAATTTTGATACAAAAAAATGATAATTTTGTAAAGTAGGTCAGTAGTTTTTGTTAAACTACGGAAAAAGAAGTAAAACAAAGGTATTCACATAAAATTAACGAGTTTTCCCATCTTATTCTTACCCATTTATGTGGTACAAACCGTTAAAAGCGGTAAAAATTAAAATTTCTCGATTTTATCAATCAATTTGGACGTTTTTAGGTTAAATAAATTAACTATTTCTACTTTTTCCGTTTACAAATTAAAAAAAAGACTTCAACAAAACGGCGAAAAAAAGTACGTGACTTTATGTCACGCGTTCCAACAATTAAGGACGCCCGACGAAGAAACCGAAATAAAACAGTCTTTCGTCCTGAACCGGTTGAATATTGATAACGCGTTTTCCGCGTGTGTTTGTTATTTTGATGATTTATATTGGCATGCGATTGTGAAGGAATGCGTTTTCATCATTTTTTTATTTTTTGTTCGTCTAGACTTTGTAAATTTAAATTAATTAATTCGCTTTTTCTATTTTTTAGGGCTATTTGGTTCAATTTGGAGCATTAAAATCCGAAGGGGACAGTCCACCCCCCATGGAGACGAACCCCCTCAATGGTAAGCAACTTACAAAATTTTTCCGTTTCACGTTGAATTTATTTTCCAAGGGTTGTTATCGGTGGGGGTTCGAGGGCGTGACTCTTTTTCCCGATTTCGTCCCCTACGTTGTTTTCGCCCCCTTTTTTCGACCGCCCACCTCCTATTTTCTCCTATAACACAGAGAATTAGGATTGGAAATTTTCAAAAGGGTTTAAACTCTTTATTTACTATATTTTTTTACGGCTCGATGTGAAGAGGGACAGATGTTTTTGACAGGTGGTCGAGATTCTTTCTAAAAAAAGAGATTAGATTTAAAAATAAACCAACTTGGTTTATCAATCTTGGTGTATTATGAGATTTTCGAAAAACACTACCATAATAGATGAAGCACCAGATTAGTAGATAAACTGACCACGTTGTAAATTCTTAAGGAAAATGTGTTACATTCTTCTCTCAGTCTCTACTTTGCTTAATCTGAGTGTTATGTCATATTCCACAAAGTGTTCTTCGTCATTATCAATACTAAAAGGGTCAGAAATATCAACAATATACACTAACAACATAAACCAAATGCCTCAGCTGATTAACCAAGTTATATTTTAGAACTTATCATACTTTGTAACAACATCATTGAGGTCACGAGTATTAATAAAGAAGAAATGATTCAAATTTGGAAAATATTCTTCGAAATCAGAGAATCCTATTAATTTAACCGCGTGGGTCGCTTCCAAATAGAGCCAAATTCGTCTCTCCAATCTTTTGAGCCGTCTCCAAACGCCCCGATTTAATCTAAACGCTTTCTTTAAGCGCACACACTTAAAAATAATCATTCAAGCAATCCCAAACGGACTTTCATTTTAATAATTTCACCTTTAAGTGAACTTTAAAGTTGATCCTAAACACTGAGGTGTCATCTCTTCTTAATCAATGATATTGTTCTCTTTGTGCTTCATTTAAAACGAATTTTGTCGATTAAAGTTTTTACATAAAAATAAGTTTCTAAAATGAAGAAAACATCGAAATAACTTCGAAACGATACTCACCACAATCAATTAAGCCGATTTTACACAAAAAAATAACAAATTTGTTAAACACAACTTTCAAGCATTTTGACAATGACAATGTAAACAATGACAAGTAGCGCCATCTAGTTATTAATAGCCATTAATTTAATTGGTGCCAACAATAATCACTTAATTTATAGTTTTAATTAATAAATTAATATTAAAATAAATCATTTTTGTTTCGTTATATCGATTAAAAAACTTACTTTAAAGCAAAAAACCAAAAAAATGATTTGACATTTGACGTTGATAATTAATTGGAGATAAGTGGCGCCATCTCCCCGCGAACTCCTACAATAAAATAAATAGTAAACAAATCTAATAAGACCTAAAAATAGTTTTTAATAATTTAAATCGTAAAAAACTTACCTTAACAACAAAATTAACGTACAATAATCTTAATACTAACAATCTCATGATAGATTGAGTCATAAATCGTCGTTGAAATTGGGTCCACTTTTTGCACTTAAATTTTAATTTATACCCAGATTTGCACAACAACGAAGTTAAAACAGATTTAATCGCGACTTAATTACACGTATTAACACGCGTTTTTACCGAAATAACGACACCTTCACAAATTTGACGGTTTGACGTTTGACATATCGACGTCGATAAAGTAGGATTAAATTATTTTATTTAAATGTTATTAATAATTAATTTAATTAAAAAGATTATTTGTTTTGAATCAAAATTAATAATTAATTCGCGAAATCCCCGAAAAAATAATATTTAAAAATAAATTAATTGATTTAAATAAAATAATTGAGTCAGCGCCATCTTACGGTGTAAAAAAAATTGAATATAATTTATAATAATTTAAATTTAAATTTATACCTCGATTTTTAATAATTTAAATCGTTAAGAACTTGCCTTAACAACAAAATTAACGTTCAATAATCTTAATACTAACAACCTTATGATAGATTGAGTCATAAATCGTCGTTGAAATTGGGTTCACTTTTTGCACTTAAATTTTAATTTATGCCCGGATTTGCACAACAACGAAGTTAAAACCGACTTAATTACGATGATTCGAACGTTGTAACACGCTTTTTTACCGAAATAACGATACCTTGACGAATTTGACGTCGATAAAGCAGGGTTAAATTATTTTAATTAAATTTTATTAATAATTAATTAATGTTAATTTAATTAAAAAGATTGTTTGTTTTGATTAAATATTAATTTTTAATTCGCGAAAACCTCCAAAAATTAAAATTTAAAACTTAATTGATTAATTTAAATAAAATAATTGAGTCAGCGCCATCTTACGGTGTAAAAAAAAATTGAATAAAATGTAAATTAATTAATTTAAACTTTAATTTTAATTTATACCTCGATTTGAACAACAACGAAGTTAAAACCGATTTAATTACGGCGATTTGAACGTTTTAACACGCGTTTGTACCTAATTTGGTATGTCAATTTGACGTCGATAAAGTAGGGTTAAATTATTTTAATTAAATTTAACTAATAACAAAATAAATTAATGTTAATTTAATTAAAAAGATTGTTTGTTTATGATTAAAAATTATTTTTTTCTTTATTAAAATTTGAAAATGAATTAATTGATTTAAATAAAATAATTTTGACTCAATTGTAAGCGCCATCTTGCGGTGTTAATGAAATTGATTATTAATTAATTAATTAATTAAATTAAATGAATTAAATCGTGATTAATATCTTAAATTAAAGTAAAAAGATTGTATTTTAAGTTATAATAAACAAAAGTGATTAATTAAGGCGGTTTCGACAGGAGAAAAATTTATTAGAAACGAATGCCTGAAATATCCAGTTCTAATTAAGTCCGGGTAATTTAAAAAATTGTTTGGCAAAGATTCTAAATTCTAAACTGCGAAATCTCGATAGCTCGGTTTATTTTAAAATTAAAGCGACATCAACGAATGAATAGATTTTGTTAACCGTTTCGAGTTAAACGTTTGTTTTTTTTAGAAAAAAAGTTTTAAGACGTGTTAATTGACTTCCTTGTAAACGAAAAATTTTTTTCTTTTGCGTTGACAAGTTTATTTCGGCGTTGAAACTTAATATATACAATTCCCCCAACGAGTTAACGTAATCTGGATGTGAATTGTTTGTTTTTTCTTGTCATTTTTGGTTTATTTAAAATTAAAAAAAAAATTTTATTGCACGTGTCCTTTTATATTTTTGAACTTATTCGAGGCCAGTTTAGAATTTCCTTTCTACTTACAAAAGGGGGCCTAACCTTTTCGGTACATTTTTAACCCCATTAATAAAAAGCCCTTCTTCAAAAACCTTAAACCCTTCTTTTTTTTTGTATTGAAACCATTCAAAAACTCGACCCTGATGATGACGACGACGATGAAAAGAGGTACTTTTGAGATTTAAAAAAAGATTTAAACCAGTTGTATTCAAAATTTTTTTTAAGGGATGAAATTAAAAGGGATTTAGAAAGAAAAAAGAAAATATGTAGTGTATACAAAGTGTTTAGTTAGTTGTATTGGGATTTGAAAGAAGGAAAACGAACGAACGGGCAGAATTGATTTCGCCTGCGGAGTGGCAGGAACGGCGGCGGCCGTAATTGATTTAGACTTTAAATTGGCAAAGGCGCGGTAATCACTCGGGCCTTAATGGCTTCATTCGCTTTGGTTTGGCCCTCGGGCCGTGGAAGCGCGCTGAGGTTAAAAATGGCCGAGAAGCCGAGGAGTCCGTCACCACTTTCGACTCTAAAAAATATTTTCTTCTTTGCTCTATACCGTAACTATTAACACGCGACGATTTTCCTTGTTATTACTTTTTTTTTAACAAATATACCGGAAGAAATCTTTATTAGATACAAAATAATCAATTAAATCACGAAATTTCTCAGTAATACGATTTTTAACGTTAATATTAATTAAATTTTTCAAAAAATGTTAAAAATAATAAGAGTTTCGGAAAGATCAGGAAATTTTAGCCTGATTTGATGTATCACACTCTATATCAATCATTAAATACACATAAATGACACAAGAAATTGGTGTTTTGTTTTCGGCCATCTTGATTTTACAAAAACAATTATATCTCGAGAACTACACCACATAGATATATCGAGTTTGGACTCATTTTAATCGGTTATTAATTCTCCACAACAATATTTACGGATTATTCATTTTCCGCCATCTTTAATTTTTTAAAAATGTCAAAATCTCAAAATACAACTAAATAAATCGTATTTGGTTTCCTTTCGTAGGATTTTTCATTAAAATCACAAATATTTGAAAATTAAAGTTGACGTTTAAAACCGGAAGTCGCCATTTTTCTCTTATAATCACCAAAAATAATAAGATTTTCGAAAAGATCAGAAAATTTTAACCTAATTTGATGTATCACACCCTATATCGACCATTAAATACGCATAAATGACACAATTAATTAGTGTTTTGTTTTCGGCCATCTTGATTTTACAAAAACCATGATACGTGTCCTTTTATATTTTTGAACTTATTCGAGGCCAGTTTAGAATTTCCTTTCTACTTACAAAAGGGGGCCTAACCTTTTCGGTACATTTTTAACCCCATTAATAAAAAGCCCTTCTTCAAAAACCTTAAACCCTTCTTTTTTTTTGTATTGAAACCATTCAAAAACTCGACCCTGATGATGACGACGACGATGAAAAGAGGTACTTTTGAGATTTAAAAAAAGATTTAAACCAGTTGTATTCAAAAATTTTTTTTAAGGGATGAAATTAAAAGGGATTTAGAAAGAAAAAAGAAAATATGTAGTGTATACAAAGTGTTTAGTTAGTTGTATTGGGATTTGAAAGAAGGAAAACGAACGAACGGGCAGAATTGATTTCGCCTGCGGAGTGGCAGGAACGGCGGCGGCCGTAATTGATTTAGACTTTAAATTGGCAAAGGCGCGGTAATCACTCGGGCCTTAATGGCTTCATTCGCTTTGGTTTGGCCCTCGGGCCGTGGAAGCGCGCTGAGGTTAAAAATGGCCGAGAAGCCGAGGAGTCCGTCACCACTTTCGACTCTAAAAAATATTTTCTTCTTTGCTCTATACCGTAACTATTAACACGCGACGATTTTCCTTGTTATTACTTTTTTTTTAACAAATATACCGGAAGAAATCTTTATTAGATACAAAATAATCAATTAAATCACGAAATTTCTCAGTAATACGATTTTTAACGTTAATATTAATTAAATTTTTCAAAAAATGTTAAAAATAATAAGAGTTTCGGAAAGATCAGGAAATTTTAGCCTGATTTGATGTATCACACTCTATATCAATCATTAAATACACATAAATGACACAAGAAATTGGTGTTTTGTTTTCGGCCATCTTGATTTTACAAAAACAATTATATCTCGAGAACTACACCACATAGATATATCGAGTTTGGACTCATTTTAATCGGTTATTAATTCTCCACAACAATATTTACGGATTATTCATTTTCCGCCATCTTTAATTTTTTAAAAATGTCAAAATCTCAAAATACAACTAAATAAATCGTATTTGGTTTCCTTTCGTAGGATTTTTCATTAAAATCACAAATATTTGAAAATTAAAGTTGACGTTTAAAACCGGAAGTCGCCATTTTTCTCTTATAATCACCAAAAATAATAAGATTTTCGAAAAGATCAGAAAATTTTAACCTAATTTGATGTATCACACCCTATATCGACCATTAAATACGCATAAATGACACAATTAATTAGTGTTTTGTTTTCGGCCATCTTGATTTTACAAAAACCATGATATCTCGGAAACTATACCACTTAGATATATCGAGTTTGGACTCATTTTAATCGTTTTTTAATTCTCCACAATAATATGTAGGAATCATTCATTTTCCGCCATCTTGAATTTTATAAAACTGTCAAATGCAACTTTTTGAGGTTATAAAGTAACGTTTGAGGTTCGTTATAAAGTTCCAGAGTGTTTTTTTGTTGTATTGAAAAATTTTCTTTCTAATTTTTCTTTCGCGGAACTATGTATTTTACGATCGACGCACGAATACGTCGCTGCGCACCCGTAACGCCGGTTAGCGAAGCCCCCGAAGCGCTGTTTACACGGTCGCCTATTGATTTTTAAACAACGTCAAAACGATTCGATACGAACGATCGTAAAGAAC